CCATTTAGTTTTTAGTTTTCTACTTTTGAAAAATTTACTTCTTTCCTCACAATTTCTTTGGTATGTGCAACTTTTTGACAAGGTAGATAGGAAAACAAAAAAATATATTGGTGGAAGTAGTGGTGGCAACAAAATAGTTATTAAACAGAACCTTGAAATATTTAACTTTTAGATGGTTTTTGATATTCTGAGGCAAAGATCCAAACTGACCAACTTTGCACCCCATATCATTTATTTGTCTGTACAATTTTTATACATGAATATGCATTTATGGAAACAGGTGGGAGCCCCAGCTCGTGTTGGACTTGTTGCACCAATAGATGTGATTGTTCCTCCAGGAAACACCGGACTCGATCCTTCCCAGACTTCTTTCTTTCAGGTTTCCTACAATTCATTCACTTCCATTTTATACCCTTTTAACTTGGAAAAGGACCTCAAACTGAATAAAAGTTCAATGATCTGTAATTTCAGGTGCTTAACATTCCAACCAAGATTAACAAAGGCACAGTGGAAATCATCACTCCTGTGGAGCTAATCAAGAAAGGAGACAAAGTCGGCTCGTCCGAGGCCGCGCTGCTCTCTAAGCTTGGGATAAGGCCTTTCTCTTACGGTCTCCTTGTTCTCTCTGTCTATGACAATGGCTCTGTTTTCAGCCCGGAAGTGCTTGATCTTACAGAAGATGATCTTCTTGAGAAATTCCTCACTGGGGTTTCCATGGTTGCCTCGGTCTCTCTTGCTTTGTCTTTCCCAACTCTTGCGGCTGCTCCCCACATGCTTATCAATGCCTACAAGAATGCTCTCGCTGTTGCTGTTGCTACCGAATATTCATTCCCACAGGCTGAAGAAGTCAAAGAATTCTTGAAGGTTCGTATGCCTCCAGTTTTTTATGATCACCTCTTCTCCAGTTATATCAATTATGTCATTATCACCTCAACTTTAGTCTTCAAACTTTGTCAAGCCATACATTTAGTCCCCTATGATAGGAGTGTTGATCCAAAAAATCTGAATTTTATATGTCTGATTTATAGTATTATGCCATATTTTGGGAGATCAAAACTAAGGTTTGGAAAGTTCAGTGTATTTAAATCTTTGCATTAATGTAACACGTGAAAAACAGTTGTATTTTGAAATGGTATGTGACTGATTTATGGCATGATCCAAAAATGGTAGGATCCAAGCAAATTTGCAGCTGTAGCAGCTCCTGCTGCAGCGGCGGAGTCTGGAGGTGCCGCCCCAGCAGCCGCTGCCCCCGCTGCAAAGGAAGAGAAGGAAGAACCAGCAGAGGAGTCGGACGAGGATATGATCATGGGACTGTTCGATTGAGCTCGATCGACGGATTAACAGTTAAGAAGAATTTTCCAATCTATCTAGTGTTTTTATTTTGTTGTTTATATGCTGTTTAAGATCTTTGGAGTTGGTTTGGTGCTTTTGGTCTGTTGAAGTTGAAGATGAACCATACATTTTTCCAAAAATGGTGGTCGAGTTAGTTGCATTCATGTTCTTTGTTTTTGTTGCAGTGCACTATTTCCTACTTTTTAGCACAAGAATTTCCGCTACTGAATGATTCCATCTTAAAAACATGTGCTGTGCTCACCCTGTCTTCTGTCTTTTACATCCTACCGAACCTGTTTATTTAAAGCTCTCCTTTTTCTTCCTCTTCTCTGAGTTCATTATTTATTATCTATGGGCTGCATTCAATTATCCTGTACATGAATTTGAATTTAGGTGGAATTTTATTTTCATCCCGACATAGGAGGGGATGGCAAAGTTTCCTTTGACACCCCTCCAAATTTGGGAACTTGAAACCTAAAGTTGAGGTTACAACAGCCGATGTAAAGTAAATAGTAAAGGGTTTGGAGGGAATGGATTCAAACCATAGTAGCTCTTTTGTAGGATTTAATATTCTACGGTTCAGACACTTGTGGATATAAAAAAACTTCAAGGTTGGATGGGACAGAAGGTTCCTCGGGACCCGTGAGGTTTGGGTTCATTTGATTAGAAATTTGGAAAAAATTATAAAATTCCATTTGAAATCGAGAACTCTTTAATTATCAAGGATGTCTTATTATTCTTAAAAAACAGATCCTAAAGTTTAAATTCTATACTTCAATACAAATTTGTTCTAAAATGTAAATATCAGAAAAATGGTTGGTAACTAGATTCTTATATATATAATAATAGATAATTAATAAATGCGTACAAGTTTTAAATGTTGATGTTGATGGAAATGTTGAAGTTTCAATTTCATGAAAATGTCGATGTTGATGATATTTTTGGAAAAGTTTAAAAAATTTAAAAATCGTAAAAATATTTTAAATTAGTAAATAAATTGTAAAAAATATTTAAATATTTTTATATTTCTAAATTAGTTAAAATGATTGATACAAATATGATGTATTATTAGTATTATAGGTGGTAGTTTGTTGATATTTTTTGTATTTTGTAGATTCTTTTGTACTGTAATAATGAACATGTCGATTTACTTTCGTATCGACGTTGAAGCCATGGATTGTCCATGTAAATGGCGACCTATAATGATTTAAATAGGCTTGGATATATTCATGGAAATGTCGACCTAATTGGATGAGCCCATGTTCCTTTATTTCCTTTTTCCATCTCCATATTTTTATAAAGTAGACATATCTAAAAAAAATTAAATGCTAAACAGGAAATTTTCGCCACAGGATTTCTACCCTCAAACGAAAATTTTACTTTCTAATTTTTTTTTCCTATAATATAATCTATCTACAAGAAAATAAAAAAAACTAATTTATTATCTCTATATATCTATATTCATTTAAGATAATTAGGTGTTGAGCAAGCCTCTTCCTTCCTTGTCTCTATTTTTCCGTTTTTATTTTTTCGGCTCTAATTTAGACTTTTGGTTTATTTGGATAGAAAACTTTTTATTTAACTCACATTAAAGTTTAAAATCGAATAAATAATTAAATTAAAATATGTTCTTTAAACCAAATTAGAAAACTGCTCACGAATCAACCAATATATTAAAAAATCTCATGAAAATAATCAGTAAAAAATAAAATTTCCATAAATAAAGATTCAATTGTTGCTATAAATCATATAAAATCTAATAATTTGGGAAAAAAAAATAAGTGAACCTTGAAAGGGAAAAATACAAGATTAAGGAATTGGATTCTTTTTCCAAAGATTCTTTTAATTTCTAAAGAGAAATATAGCAGACAAAAAAACATAAAAGTGAGGGTTATTTATTTATTTTGTGTGTGTGAAGAATAAGGTGAGGCATTCTTGAACCATGTGAAGCCTCAAGAAATCTCAATAATTGTTTGTTGCTGTCTTCTTTTTCTTTTTTGTCCCCTATTTATTCCATTATAATTGAAACATTTATTACTAAAAATGAGATTTTATTCTAATTTTATATATTTGGAATTCCAAAAGAACCCTTTTATAAGATGCTAATATGAATATATTAGGAAAGGAGTGTCTCCACCAGTCCCCAAAAAAAAAAAAAATAAATTGAAACATATCTAATTTAAATTTTCACAATTAATAAACTCATCAACTCTAACTAATCAAATAGACCTGATCGGTAAAATTTAGTCCATAAACTTCAAACATTGCGTCAGTGTAATCTTTTAATTTTACGAACATGATTATAGTTGAGTATCCATTCTTTATCCTCAATTTTTAGAGAGTTTTAATTTATATTTCTAAATTTTCAGTTATGCTTTAATTTATTTCTACCATTAATGGGTATGTTAGTGTTTGGTTAATGATATTAATGTGACAAATAAAAATATAATTTTATTTATAGAAGAAATTGAAATTTTTTAAATAGATAAATACTAATAAAAAGAACTAAACTTATAATTCATTTTTTTAGAATTGATATTCATATAAGCGGACAAAAAAAAGCCTAAAAATTAAAAGTTATTGAATGATTTTGATTTATATTTATTTAAACCCACCACTTGCATTTCCAAAGGGCAAATGCGTTTGGATATTTTATTTAATTTTGTTATAAGGTTCCCTTTGATTTTTCTTGGTGTCACATCTTTGTTCAACTATTACAAATTTCTTTTAATGATAAATAATAATTTTTGTAAAGTTTTTATTTAAAATGTGACCCTAGATGTGACTCAAGAGCTAATTTAATTTGGTTTGGTTCCATATGATTTGTTTTTAACTGTTGCCCAACCATACATGTTAGATTTTTTTTTTCTAATTTCTTTTTTTTTTTTTGGAGCCCTACATGTTAATTGGAAAAAAAAATTCTTGAATTCTATTTGATAATAACCTTTTTCTTTTAGTTATAGAAAAATGCTTGTTTTTGTAACTATTTTGAATTTCTTGTTTTCTAAAATTTTAAATCAAAAATGAAAATAAAAGAGTTGTTTTCGAAAACTCTACTCTCAAACAACCCCTAATTTATATTGACTTCGACTTTGAGAAACTCTTCCTTAAGAAACATTACTGAATACTCGTTGTCGAGTTGGGTCGTGTTCGAGAGGGAGAGAGCGACTATAAGAAATGTTAGTGAATACTCTTGTCCCGGTTGTCGAGTAAGATTGGCTTCTAGAAGTCTTTGTCACCCCCCTTCATTTTCTCCTCTTCTTTTCCCTCAATTCCTATTGGTCAATGTAATCTCACTATACTTCCAATCTCATTTGTTTGCTTCTCCATGATTTCTTTCACATTCTATTATATTACTAATAAATATATTTCTATTTTTAAAAAAATAATAATACACAAATGAACACTCAATTGCATTGATATAGTGTTTTACATAAAATAATTAGTTTAGTTTGGTACATATAATTTTAATGCTTTTAAATCCTCTTTTATTAATATCCTTATTTCGGTATATGTGGGTATTTATACTTTATTGTTCATTACAAGTTTTATATTCTCACGTTTGTATTTATTTCTTTTAACATTTAATTCCATTCTAAAAATGGTTAATTCATTATGCTAAAAAAAATGGTTAATTCATATTAAGTTAATAATTAAATATCTAGAAGTAAAATATATGTGTTTGTTCTAAAAGTTTTGTGCACGAAAATTTAAATTACCTTAATTATGTATAAAATGTTAAACTAGTACCAATCAATCACTTATTGATAATTTATTAATTTAAATTATATTTGTTGAGAGTGAAAGTCGAGCAGGTAATGTGTCGGATTCGGTGGATGACAACTGGTCATGGAAACCATAGGTTGTACAGAACATGCAATCGAGGGAGGACGTGGCATGAGCACCTGTAGCGTAGTACAGGAGGTGCGGCGCACCCTTCAAGCGATAATCTTGCAGGATAGAGTGGCAAGTGGGGGTATTACCACCACAACCCTAGAATGTCCCCTAACCGACTGTTAGAATCTAGTACAATATCGAATCTTACTGTGCTGCGTACAGATTTTCCTCCCCGATCAGCTATGAGCACCTATAAGACGGAAGGAACCACCACGACCACAGGATAAATAAAAAATCTGTCGCTAGACTCTAAAAATGCTCTACGCTTTCTTTCTTCTCCGATTACTAACTTTGACTGTTGGAGAATACTAGCCAGAGCACCCAACTAGTGTCGAGAATCGTTATTACAAGCTCATTTATCCAACAAACACCGGTGATATGAAGGACACGCTCCAAATTTCTGCATCAACAATATTATATAAAATCGATTAATTAATTATATAGTTCATGTCTCTCTTCCCACTGCTCTTCGTCTTCTAAGAATAATTTTTCTCTCTAAGTGGAAAAATTAATTGAATGGTTAGTTGATACTTTTATAGGGTATTTACTTAACTATACAATTTTACATCAATATTTACAAAAATATATCACTTTTCCACTCATATAATTTTGTCTTTTAAAATATTTAATCTCTGTAAATATAGATTTACATTGTCTCAATGCACAAAATAGAATTAATATGTAGTTAAAAAAGTCACAAAATATAGCATAAGTTTGACTGAGTGTGTTTTACGTTACGACGGAGTTTACCTATTTTGTTATATATTTGAAAATACATATTCATTTTATGCTATTTAAAAATGCATATTTATTTTATGTTATTTTTGTAAATACTTCTAAATTTATGTTTGACTCATGTCTTTTAGTTTAGACTTACCCCTTAGATCTTTGAGTTGGGTAGAAAAGCAAACTCCCTCTATTTATAAGCCGGAGGACTTAACAAGTCAACTCGAGTTATTAGGACTAAATGCTCTCATTTCAAAATGGAAAAAAAAATCATTTGAACCAGAGCGTTACGAATGAATAGTTGGACCACAATAATAGAAATGAATATGCATTAAAAACGTCAAACTCCAACTAAAAGAAATCTAAGTCGTCGAAATTCTATTGTATATAACTTCTTTCACTACTATTCTCAAATGATCATATTAGATCTTTCGTGACAATTCAAACGTAACCAGTATTCGAAATACTTATTTATGGTTGAAATGTAATGGAGAAAAGGCTCACTCTTTGCATCTTGGCCCCATCTAGCAAAGAATTTTGGATTGGACAATTTTGACCTTTAGCCACCAAAAAATGTCACATTCTTATTTTTCAAATTTCTTGTAGTTTTTGAGAATAATGGAGCATTAAATCAGGTTCTATGTTAAATCAAAAAGC